AACATTACTACTTATTTTATCATAGAAGTGTGTGCTTGCTTCTTATTGGACTCTTGGCGCTTTTGAATAAATTATTTTGATTAATTTGAGTTTAGTATGGCCTTTTAGGGTTTTGGACAATTGGGGGAGTGACAATTGTGCAGAGACTCATTCTTTCCAAAACATTTTGACTTAGGATCATTACCAACCAAAATATGAATTGTCAATTTTTAGGTATGCTGTTTGACATTCTCAAAAAAAGAAAAAAAAAAAAAGAAAAAAATAATAGTTGTTTGAAAAGATATAAATTCGATTGAGAGAACGACTCATTGAATTTAGAATTTCCATAGTTGGAAAGTATAGAAAAATAGGTGGAGTTTTAGTAGTGTTAGCTTCACCATATTTGGTAAAGTCACACCCTAAAATAAAAAATATGTGAGTTCTATGTCAAAAACGTATGTGATGACATATATATCTGCACATTTTATAGATTTTTTTAACAAATTAAAAGCACATTTTATAGATTTTTTAACATTTAATATAGATAATAATATTTCAATAAGGTTGCAACCTTAAACAATCCAATTAAGGCACACCTCCAAATTTTATTATAACATGTAATTTTGGTGTAATTTTTTTTAAGATTATCTAAAATGTATTTTCATATCTAATTATAAAATTTTAAACTCCAAAAATAGTTAAAATCATGTAGATCTATAAACATGTGAAAATATTGAACATGGATGGTCTAGATAATGTGTTGCAAGATGCACTATTTTTGGGACTCAAAATCTTTTTTTTTATATACATTCATACATCTCGTTGTCAAAATGATCAATTAAAGGGTCTTTCAACATTAAAACAACATTTTTCGATGGATTTTGAGGTACATCTATCCTTCTACATTTCAAGGTTACAACCTTATATAAATTTTTCCCTATTAAAAAACGTACATTACAGTCCTAAGGCTTGAAATTCTCATTTCTTCTTAGACCTATGATTGTCGAGACCTAGATGATCAGTTTAAGGTCTCTCAAAGTTTGAAGTACATTTTTATGTGACATTTGAGGTGCGGGCTTACCAAATATCGTAAAGCTCCGGCCCTATAAATACTTTGCCTTACAATATGGGAAAAAAATTATATAAGTGGGACGTTCTAAATAATCAAATTAGGACACACCTAAAAAATTTCATGAGAAGAGGTCGTTTTGATATCCAGATATTCTTAAATTGATCATCTCGACCTCAAGATGCATGAACAAGAGAAAAAAAATGGATTTTAAGTTTTGGAAATAGTGCATCTTCTAATGTATTTTTGGATTATCAATTTTCAAGATTTTCAAGTTTTCATGGAGGCCCTTAATCTACTCTATTTTTTAAGCTTTAAATTTCATAGCTAGAGATAAAAATATATTTTAAGACTATCACAAAGATTTTCAATATTGAAACTACATTTTTCGACACTATTTGAAGGTGCGAGTTTACTTTGATTGTTTAGAGTCTCGGATTTACAAAACCGCATCCTAAAATATTAGCAATTAAAAATCCAATACCAATCAATTACACAAAAAAAAGTGACAAAGAGGAGAGAGAAAGTTATAGGTCCAGCAGGTAAAGTGAAAAAACTCATGTCATAAATATGTCATCATTTTAGCCATTGAATCACATTCATACGTCATTGAATTGAAAATTGAACGGTCCTGATTTTCTCGATTGGTAGCACCTATAGATCCATACTGTTCAATTATTCGGCGAGTAATTGAACTCCTCGCGGGGGTTTCGGCGCCCACACAAAGCCGACCGCCCAATCGGCTCAAGGGCATAATAGGAAAACAAAAAATTATAAACAAGAAATAATTCCATCACCCAAATTTTCAGTAATCACACCCCTCGAACACATGGAACCCATTCGGTACACCTGTTTTAGAGTAGCGAAAAACGCAAGAGTCGTCCACATGCATGGGTGCGGTTATTAAAAATGGAAATATAAAAGTTAGTCTATTTGGCCGTAGTTTTTTTTTCAATTAATTAGAGTCGGTTATATGAATATTTGTTTGTTATTTTGTTCCATTAAAGGTTATATATTAAATACGGTTATAAACTTCTATATTTTTTCTCACTACTGTCAACAATGCCATTTTGAGCCTATCTTTGGTCTTTTTTGAGCTTTCCATTTAAATTGACTCACGCGCCCTAATAAGTATTGTTTTGGCTAAATCTTTTTTAAAGTAAAAACGAGTTTGATTGAGAACATATCAAAATCAAATTTTGATAGATTTTAGTTGGTTAAACATGCTAGTTCTAATCGTTGGACTAAATAAAATATTGTACACATCATAAACTATTATTTATTTTATTTATCTTCAAAGTTTTAGTTCGACCAATTTAAAATACAATAGGATTCTACATACAAAGTACAGATTGAATTTTTAAAAAATATGTTATATTATTAATTATTAATTATTTTAAATTTAGTTTAAAACTAATCAAATAACAATCAGACTAATTTTTACTATATCAAAATCCTCACTTCTTTTTTAAAGGTAATTCAGTGAGAAAAACAACTCGTATCCGTTTTTTCAAATAATTTAAGAGTTATTTGATTAATTTTAGACTAAATTTAATAATGACTCGGAGCGTCTCAAATGCTAAGAATGTCATGGTTTAGAAATCAGGGTGTCGAAATCAGGTTTCCGTACACAAATATAAATTAAATATAAAGTGAGGAGCGAGTAGTTTAAGGGTGGGTGCCCTAAAAATAAGGGCTGTGTTTTGGAACACGCTGCCCACTTTCTTACGCTCCCAGTCTCAATATTCATCCTCTCTCTCTCTACTTTCTCTCTCTTTCATCTCATGTTCATCTTCTCTCTCTACTTTCTCTCTCTTCAATACCATATTTACCTCTATACTTTCTCTCTCTTCAACTCATATTTACCTCTCCCCTGTCTCTATCTTAACGCCCTTATTCATCTCTCTCTACAAAGAAGGCATGTTTCTCTCTCTTCAATCTCATATTTACCTCTCCCCTGTCTCTATCTTAACGCCCTTATTCATCTCTCTCTACAAAGAATGCATGTTTCTCTCTCTTCAATCTCATATTACCTCTCCCCTGTCTCATCTTAACGCCTTTATTCATCTCTCTCTACAAAGAATGCATGTTTCTCTCTCTTCAATCTCATATTTACCTCTCTCTTTTTCAATCTTCAAGTATCCTTTTCACTTTAACGCCCCTAGTCATGCATGTTTCTCTCTCTAAATCTCTCTCTCTACAAAGAATGCATGTTTCTCTCTCTAAATCTCTCTCTCATTACAAAGAATTCATCTATTCCTCGAACACATTCTCTCTACTTTCTCTCTCTTTGATTACCCTTTTCCAATCTTTTACACCCTGTTTTCTCTCTCTACTTTTTGCCCCTCTTTCTCTCTCTTCTAAGGTATCCCCCACTCCTTAATCTTTAGTAGCAATTATTCCCCATAAAATTATTTTATTTTTATTTTATCACAATAAGTTATAGTTCCTGCTTATAATTTGATAATATTGGTATCAAAATTAATATTTGATATCAAAATTATTTTAGTGTAATTTTAAATTTTAAACATATGTCAAAATAAAACAAATTTATTAACTATTTAAAATTTTATCCACTTTCATGTGAATTCTATTGAATTTAAATTATATGAAAAAAGTAAAATATCAAAATAGTGCACTAGTAAGAATATCTATTATTGTCACAATGAAAGGATTTTTTTAGAATATCCACAGTAAAAATATTTATTGATATTATCATGCCAAAAAGCAAAATAGACATTTATATATAATTTTTTTTTAATATTTTCCAAATAAAAAATCTGAAAACTGGACAAGGTGAATGTGAAACAATTTGCAAGGGAATTGTTGATAGATGTGTAACTAAAATTTATTAAATTGGATAGGGATTTTTATTTACGAAAATTTGTCAACATATTCCCAAATTATCAATTACTTGATATCTTACCTAATTTCAATCATTTTGACTCATAATTATGTATGTTGATAGAGTTCTTAAATTAAATCACACATGCAATTTTGGGGAACTCGGCTTGGGCCTCAAACTCCGCCTTGACCCAGTCGAGTTACACGAGTAAGTCCATTTGGACTTGTCCAAGTAGTGTATAGGGCCCAAAAATCTTAAAAATAAAATATATATAAAAAAAACAAAATAGTAACATTCAAACTAAGCCAAAAACTGCATAAAAGTCCAAATAAACTTCTTTGTCAAAAAAAAAAAAAAAAGGTCTAAATAAACTAAAAAGATATAAAATACAGATTTAGGCAAAATGGGGTTACAGTTGGAGATATTTAAAAAAATAAAAAAGGCACTCGAAAATAAAAATTCGCAAATCATTGTTTAAAATCTAAACGACAATATAAAATATTTATATATTGATTCCACCATTTCATCAAAAATTTATTTTACTTATTTGTTTTTCACTAATCAAAGATATGGTATGAAGTAATCCATATTTTTAAGTGTATTTTTGGTAGATTTCCTTTTCAATTTCGAGGTACATTAAAAATTCCTATAAATTTGAATATATTCATGTTTCAATGGTGTAAACATAGTTTGAACATTAAATCCTATTCACTAATTTCAATAAAAATTAACTCCACAATAAATAGGAATTAACTTCTTCGTTTTAATTTTAAAGGCCCCCATAATTATCTGATAAATGCCCGATTAAAAAGACAAACCAGGCCTCTATTTCCGGTTTCTGTCTCTATTTCTCTCTACGGCTCCATTTCTCTCTCTAAACTATCTCTCTGTCTCTTTATCTCTCTCTACATTTCTATTTTTCTCTCTGCAGCTCTGTTTCTCTCACTAAACTCTCTCTAGTTCTTTATTTCTCTCTCTACACTTTCTGTACCTCTCGATGTATTTACTTTTCTCTCTCTACATTTCTATTCCTATCTCTCTACATCTGTATCTCTCTATCTTCGTTTCTGTCTCGAGCCTCTACAGCCTCTCTCTCTTCACGGACATTTTCTACCCTCTTTATTCTCTCTCCTCTTGCTGTTACGTCTGTATTTCTCTCTCTATCTTGATTTCTCCCTTCAAGTACCATTTTCTACCTCCTTTATTCTCTCTCTCCTCTCCGCGCAAGTACGCTTTTTCCACTGAGACCACCGATTTCCGGTTATTCTCTCTACTTTCTCTCTCTACAAATACCCTTTCCACTCTTTTACACGCCAGTTTTTTAACTCCTATATTCCCGGTTGCTCTTTCTCTCTCTACCCTATGGTCCGTACTTTCTCTCTCTACCCAGTGGACTATTATTTGTTCTCTCTCTAACCAAAGTGGCCCTCTCTCTCTCTAACCAGTGACCTCTCTCTGGGGCCTGTGCTTTTTCTGGCTTTATGCCCTTTTCGCTCTCTCTCTCTCTCTCTGTATTTCTCTCTCTCTAGCTGACTCGTTGAATGCCTGGACCGAGAAAGCATTTGTACATCAACGAGGTCAGGTTTTGAGCCAGGAAGCTCGTCTCTGCAACTTCACCTGATTCTCTTTCTGCTCTCTCTCTCTACTGCATGATCTGCTTATAATCTCAGTTTAAGATTGGGTGGTGTTTATTTGGAGGGCTTCAGTTCGACTTTTGATTTGGTGACGAGCTTCTTCGTGTGGATTTTGGGGTGTTTTTATGGTTTGTGGAGCTGTTTTGCTCTACTGATTGAGGGTTTCGAGGAGAGTTTCTTCTGGTTCACTTTGTGGTGATAGATTTGCTGTATAAGGGTTTTTCTTGAATGAGTTCCATTTTTATTGCAATCTGGGATATTTATAACATTTGAAGCTTCGATACTTTACATATTTATTTGGATTAGGGTTTCCTCTTTGTATGAATGGTGGGCATGCATCGTGGTTAAACGACATGGTTTTAGGGCAGGGTTTATGGTGGCACTGAAAGAGAGAATCAGTGGATTAGGGTTTCTGTTGTTTTGAATGCATGGTTTTTTGATCGGGATTTTTGGAGATGGGTTTTTGTTTTTGAAAGATGGCGTTTTGATTAGGGTCTTGAGAAGATGGGTTTAGGGCCTGGAGCTACCCAGGTTGAGGCATGGGAGCAGGTGAAAAGATCAAGGGGGAGGAAGAAGGGTGAAGATGGAGAAGACACTGGCTGCTGGTTTAAGTTCAGGTTAATGGGGAGCTGCATTTCTTCTAGATCCAAAGTGGACAATTCCATTAGTAGCGCCAGTACTCATTATGGTATGGAATCTCTCTCTCTCTCTCTCTATCTCTATCTATGTTAACCTTTGTTTCATTCATGGGTTTGCTCTGTTAAATTGCTGATTTCTTTTCTTTTTTCCGCAAGATTACTAAGTGATGAGAGTCGGTGTTCGTTAAAGCTAACAACCTACTGCAACTATGATTTATGTATTGGAATCCTATGTTTTTGCTATTATTTAGTTGAGATGTTGATTGAGGAGATTACTTGGTGAATCCAGTTAACTTCTATAGTTCCATCTATTATCATCATCCGGTTTTAACTCCCTCTCTCTCTGTCTCTCTCATTCTACCTCTCTCGTATGGGGATGTTTTTACTTGCACATTTATGGAGTTTCAAGAATGGATCTTTTGTGTGGCACTTGCGAGAAGCTTAATTTACATCTTGGCCTAATTGTAAATCAATTAGCTTATTAAATTTTGCTAGTTGAAAATTTTGTTCTTATTTGAAATGGGGTGTTTTTTCTTCTTTAAAGTTATTTGAGTATTCACTTTGTTACCTCTGACTTGAACCTTTTTTTTTGCCTGAAACGATAACTTTGTTATTCTGTGGCTCTGTCATTTTTGCATATCCAAGTTGGTATAGAAGGTCTCTGACATTTGGACTTTTGGTTCCATTAACTTTATCAGCTGAAAGTAAATCTACAAACGATGTAAGTAGAGATCAGCCCGTTGTGCCTGTGGTTTCTTCTACAACTACCAGTAATGCAGAGAGTAATCCCTCTACTCCCAAAGTGGGAGAGGAGCTCAAAGTTGCCTCTCAGTTGAGGAAATTCACATTCAATGATCTGAAATCAGCAACAAGAAATTTCAGACCAGAGAGCCTTCTTGGGGAGGGCGGTTTTGGTTGTGTCTTCAAGGGTTGGATCGAGGAGAATGGAACAGCTCCTGTTAAGCCTGGAACAGGTCTTACTGTTGCTGTCAAAACCCTAAACCATGATGGTCTTCAGGGCCATAAAGAGTGGCTGGTATGATCTTCCTTTAACCAGTACCTTTAAGCTTCAATTTTCACAAATTTCAGTAGGAAGTCTCTCTCTCTCTCTCTCTCTCTTGCTCTCTCTCATTTCAATCCTCGCCTTCATGAATGTTGAGCAGTTAGGTTTGATGGCAGGTTTTTTCTTATTTTTCAGGCTGAAGTTAACTTTTTGGGCGACCTATTGCATCCTAACTTGGTTAAGCTAATTGGGTATTGCATCGAAGATGACCAGAGGCTTCTTGTCTATGAGTTTATGCCTCGAGGAAGTCTAGAGAATCATCTCTTCAGAAGTATGTAACTATCCTTAACTTTTTTTCATGCTGTTCATGAGGGGCATTTCTTTATGATTTTTTTTTGAGAAAAAAATATTTCTTTATGATTTTAAAAGGTCAACTCTTTTTGTGAAAGTTGGCTTTCATTGTAGATGTTTAGGAGCTTCTAATATTTGAAATCAATTAAAAATTTTAACAAAAAAAGATAATGGTGATATTTAAGCCTATAATTGGTATTTAATGTGTTCAAAGGAATTCACATCTCATTCTAAAGTTCAGAATGACCACAACTATGGGAACCTCTTTTGAAACTAAGAAAATGAGGCCATTAATAATAAGTCACATATGCATCATGATTCGTTTTGGTCCGATTGAGTAATGGGGTGAACAATTGGCTTGGCGATCATCAAACTGCAGGCCTTGTCTGTCGTATGCTGATGTGCTTGTTACTGATTGAGGCATCAATGATTCGGTTTGTGGCATACTCTCTTTATGAAATGGACCAATTCAATTGATTCACATTTGGTTTCAAGATTCAACATGGCCTCCCATGCTAAATTATCAGAGTTCTTCTATAATTTTAGTTATGCGTCAATAGAGCAATCCTAACAAGTAAGAAGTAACAACTTTAGCATATGTAGTGGCCATTGTAACTATACTAATCATATACCCCCCTTCAAACATGATTATGCAGAAATATTATAAGCTAGGATCTTAGGCTTCTTTTTGTCCTAATTGCAACTGTAATATATTTTCCATGTCATCCAGTGGGGTTTTAAAAGCCAGTATCAAAGAAACAGGAGTTCATCAATGGATATCAATTTGTGATGTTCTTGCCACCTCCCTTGCTTTGCACTATAGAGCCAATGACCTAGTTGGCATTTCTAAGGTCATGTTGAGAATTTCTAAGGTTTTGTTGGAAAAGAGGCAACCAGCAATCCATCTCTCTCATGTACCCCTTATGTAAAGTTTCCTATCCTCCATAGATATATGTATCTCATTTCATCCATTCTATCTAACTAGTAAGTGACTATTCCCTCAACTTCGAGCCAGTCAGCAGAGCTCTCACTTTACCTCTGCAGTGTTGTAGATTCCAAAGGGCGTTGTCATTTCGAATAACTTCAGAGCTATGTCCTAAAGACCCATAACGTTGCATGGTTGTAGTGGTCAGTTCCAAAGCAAGTTCCATGAATCTTGAGCTTTTACTTTTAGGTCCCCACTTGTACTGATTGGAAAAGGAAAATTCCCCAGTGATGGCTTACTCCATTTAATCACCGGTTTGAGCCTCAAATTATTTTCTCCGATTCTGAATGTTGAGTGATGCTTTCAAGAATCACAATAGCTTTGCTTGATATTCCGGATGCTCAATGCCCTGGTTCCCTCGCCATTGGCTATCCATTTGAGGCCCACACAACTCCTTAAATCATAAGAAATAATGAATTGTGTGGAGGCACCTTGAGCTGCGTTACCTTTGTGCTTACCTATTTGGGCCTTTGATGATCACTTTTAACACATGATTTGGCACCTTGGAGCTGGCAATCTCAGCTGGGCCTAGGGTTCCGGCCATGACTCCCTTCCAGTATTATCAAATAGGAGAAAAAGAAAATTATCTCTGGCCTACTACCCAAGTACTGGTGAGTATTGACTGCTGCTACTAATAGAAGTGGGCATATGGGAATCACCTGGTTATGCGAATGAAATTAGAAATGTACATAACATTATTGTCAACGTTCTATGCTAATATTATGCGCTGGATGTACTTGTAGCTGTCAAAATATTGACTTTTGTGAAAATTAGTTAGTGAATGGTCATAAAGCACATCAAATTTGTAACTATTGGTTATATCATTACATGTGAGGTGGAGCTACAAGCAACTCATTTTGCATTCTCTGAAATCTGGCTGGTCTTTATGTCGATCCCAGTTGTGTCTTCATTTGTTTTACATTTCAATTCTGACATTGTGTTTAACTGTATAGTTGAATGATAATGTATCAATGCAGAGGGAAATCAATAGCCACATTGTGTTATCTGAGGGTCAGTTTTTGCCAGCTTTATACTTTGGAGATGAGTCTTTGAGATGCTGTTGTGTGGGCATCGACAATGTTCTATCCATCAGGGTAAAAAAAGCTAAGGGAGATTTATTAAAATACACCTAACTTTTTGATAATTTATCAGTTTACTTTCAGCTATTCTAGCTCACGGTCATGTGTATTTGATGGGTATTTTTAAACTAAATCACAAGATATGGGTAAAATGTTAAATAGTTGATCTCTTATATGTATTTTAATAAATTTCCCAAAATATAAATATAAGAATTAAAACTTTAAAATTGTAAAGAATAGAATAAAAAAAAAGTTTTGAATTGTTCATCTTGAGACTTGCTTTAAAGCATTTAATACTCATGTGGAATTGTCTGATACCCTCAATTTGTCTATCCATGGTTTGAGTCGGTTATTTCCATTTTCATATAAACATAATTGCATTCTCATGTGTTGGATGTTTTCTCTAATATTTATGCTTTGACACGCACATACCCTCAATTCATTTTGTTATCATGATATCAAAGTCTATGACTGTCTCCAAAGCTCAGGTTTCTTTTAAGGTTTTAAGTTCATAACTTCATATGATCTTATGAAAAATTCACATAGGATTTTGTTTATGTAAGTTATGGTGAATGCAGAGATCGCTGTGCATTTTAAAATTTTGAATTCTTGGATTCCCTCTTCCTTGGATTCAAGTTATGAATTTCAGATGGTAGTTTAAAGCCCTTTCAATATTTTAAACCATAAGACTGATGGTCGAGGGGAGGACATGCCTTTATGAGATGGTCCTACCTCAAGTTGAATTGATAGTATGGCCGTTTTTGAAATCTGTTCAATTCAATTAGTCAATCTTTCCACACCCGTGCAATTCCAGTTCGATTTGTTTCTTTTTCCAATTTAATCTGCTGCAATATTTGTTATCAGTGTAGTTTCATACAGTCCATTTCTTTGTGTTTTTGAGATGGGCGACACGAACTTTTCCAATCTATTGGTCAGACTCTCCTGGTTATTCGTCCATGTGGTCTTGACAAAGTTGCGTTTTGGTCATAATTTTTGTGAAAACCGAAAGGCAGATACTATGAATTATTTCTATTAAGGAGGAATGACTGTATTAGGTTTGTGAATTGCAGGTCTCAATGCCTTGTAATCTTAGGTAGGTTAGATGTGGTTTCCCCTATAAACACTAAGGCATGTTTGTGTGGCTGATTAGAATCATTTGATACGCTTTGTAATCGGAGCCAACTTTTAAAAGCTTCTGCTCATATATAATATCAATATTAGATTGTACATATTTTGGACAAATGAAAATGAACAATGTTATGGTAGACCTCAACATGCTTATGATATTGTTTTCAACACTCTTCTTTTCTTTCCCCAACTGCATACCTTGTTATGCATTACATGTGCTTTGCTATTTAGAATCTTATGGAACATTAAAGAGTTCCTTACCTGTAATAATAGAGAAAAAAATAAAATTAAAGAGTTCCTATTTCAAGTTTCTATTTCTGCAATAACATGTGTAAATTCAATGTGCCATTACAGAAAAGCTAGTTATTTATCTGAGCTCCCAGTCTCTTTCTCATTTGATAGCAAGGGGTGAAGTACTAACAATAGAAAGGATTAATTGGTCTGGATATTCTTTATGGGGCCTTTTTATTTCTTCATGGTCAGAGTGGTTAGAGGCCCTCTTTACCTCTGTGTTTGGGACCCTGTTCAAACTTTTGAAGACATGTTTGATTTACTCCGGACTGTGTCAATTCAAGACTCGGTGGGAAATCAAGTTGCTGACTTCATTATTATGAAGAAGGAAAAGGTTTATATAAGTGGCCCACCTTATTCTAGAAAAGTAAGGTCCATCTCAAAAACCCATTGGAAAAAGTTGTTCGAATACTGGGAAACCCTATTATATGTATGGATATTGAAAAAAGAAGAAGAAGATTTCAAGTGCTAAAAATAGTGCATCTTGTAACACATCATTAAGATCATCCATTTTCAAAGATTTTATAAAGTGTGTTTATAGATCTGGTTTATCGGCGACATTTTTGGGTGTTTTAAATTTCATAATTAGGGGTATAAACAGATTTTCAGGCCATCATAGGGGTTTTTGGCTTCGGAAACTACAACTTTTGGTAGGCTTTGGAGGTGCGACTTTGATTGTTTAAGGTTGACGCTTTATATAACCCACCCTATAAAGAATCTGTTTAGACTCATTGGGAAAACCCAACCTAGTCTTTGTCAGGATCGGGCAAATCACTCAACTACTTTTTTTTTTGGTTTTCCTTCTAGGCTCAAAGAGGAAAATCAAAGAGTGTCATTTTCCTGTGGTTCATAAAAAGCTGGGGTGTCGAATAACTTTCTCTCTCGCATGCTGTCCCATCCTTGTTACACTTGAATTTGGCAATTTGATTTTAATACTTGAAGGTTTTTTGAAAAAGCTAGTCCTTTCTCTCAACTAACTTCTGGTCCTCGCACTCTGGCCCATCCTTGTTACACTTGAATTTGTCAATTTGATTTTAAGGTTTGAAGGTTTTTTGAAAAGCTAGATCTTTCTCCCAACTAACTCTTGAGAATTCTGGCGTTGCACTTTCTTCATAGTATTTGGGCCTCAATAATTTAATTTAGGGAGGAATTTTTGTGAGCAAATTCCCCACCTTTGGCCAGCTGTCATTGGTCTTTTTATACCATAAGAAAATGCGAATAAAAGGAGACAAGAAAAATGCCAAGATATAATATTTTATTTATTATTTGAAAGACTGCAAATACACTAATCTCACACATATACAATAAATATACACTAACAAAGTATGTAGGAATTCCTATTTGTAAATTTTACATGAGAAATATTTTTTTATATTATTGCATGAGTTTTCCACATGCTCGAATTTATTTTTGGGTATGAATTTATGTTTTATTGTCTCCCAAACAATAAATTTTGCCACATTTTCAAAATCCTACTGCTATCTTTTGGAATTTCTATTTTTTTCGTTCTCAATAATTTATGAACTGGTCATATTTTTCCATACTTCTGTCTAGTTGTCATCAAGATTTTACTTGAATGAATGTATTAATCATGCTTTTGATGACTCTACAACTCAACAACTGTTTGTCTCAATTTAAATTGACTGGGTTCCTTGCTGAGTCAAGTCTGGATCACAAGTCACTAAACCATGTTCAAGTGAAGTATCAAGGAGTGGGCTGGGGTTGCATCACCTCATTTTAGTGTAGGGGTTGCATCACCTCATTTTAGTGTAGGAGTTAAGAAAAACATTGAATTGGATTCAGAACTTCTAGCAGCTCAGTTGGCCACAGTGAATGGCAGCATCATGTGCATGATTTAATATCTTGTAGCCATTATTTTCTCGTATACCTGCATGCCCTTGGGATTCTTTTATGTGACGATACAGTTTGCTTTTATCTACTAATTGTACAGGCTTCACCGAAACCTTTGTTTTAATGTTTCTTTGGTAACAACCACTTTGCATACAGAAGGGGCCCTGCCACTCCCGTGGTCCATACGAATGAAAATTGCTCTTGGGGCTGCAAAGGGCCTTGCATTTCTCCATGAGGAAGCTGAAAGGCCGGTGATATATCGTGACTTCAAAACATCTAACATCCTGTTGGATGCGGTATGTGGCTAAATAAAGTGTGTGTGTGGGCAGAGAGAAGAGGGGGGGGGGGGAGAGGAGGAGAGAGAGAGAGTTTTATGGAGAGAGATTGTAAATTATTGCAATTAAGAATTTTCTTATGGGTTAGATAAAGTATCTTTATCTGTTCTCACGGTAATGTGTTTTCCAGGAATACAATGCCAAACTATCTGATTTTGGGCTAGCTAAAGATGGGCCTGAAGGAGACAAGACTCATGTTTCTACTCGAGTGATGGGAACGTATGGTTATGCAGCTCCTGAGTATGTAATGACTGGTGAGTACTATCTGTGAATTACAGATATCATGTTTACCTGTGATTTCTGTCATAGTGAAGAGCTTCTCAAGATAGGTTGTGATTCTTATGCTATAGGATAATTTTCTTTTTTGTTTACTATTAGTTGTACAAGAAAGCTTCATCCTTTTGTTAGTGGTTGTGCAACTTTGTATTTTGATTTTTATTGTACTTGAAAAACTATGGAAACCAGACCAGAATTTGTTGGTCGTTATTTCATCTTTTCCTCTGTCTTTTGATGGTTATTGTACTTCAAAAAATATGGGAAACTACAAAAGAAAATGTCCTCTGCTGGTTTATGTTTCATCTTTTGTCTTTTATTGGTTATGGTCTTTGGCATGAACTCTGATTGTTCAGGGGTATATCTATTCTTTTGAGCTATTCAAATTTGAGAGGGGAGGTTGGGGGGGGGGGGGTGTGGTTTATGATTACTTAGGAGTCTCCGGTTATTAGGGTCATTTTGATTCACGGTTTCTGCCACTTGAAAACCTTTTTTTTTTTTTGATAAGAGTTAACTGTATTGCCATAAAGTGTTGTTGTACTAGTGTTTAAACCGAGAGTCCCTACCAGGCGGGACTCTCTGTAAAAAAATAGGTCAGTCGACCCTGTACAAAATGGGCTTATAGATCTACCCGATTACACAAGATTTACAGTGAGATTACAAAAAAGGGCTTATAGTTTAAAACTTTAAATGCAGTTTTAGCATTTATAGATTTGGGTGCGAACCTAAATGATATAAATCTTAAAATAAAATTCCATTTGCAGATGAGTATGCTTAAGTAATGTTTGTCTTCTACATAGAGAAAAGGTACTAGGAATCTTTTATTTCCGAATCAGGGGCTATAAGATTGAGGGTGAGAACCAATCACAACTTAAATAGAATATATTTATCACAAAAAAGTGAAGAAAATCTACACAAGTATAAATGCATGTGCCATCATGTGATCGCCATCACTCGTACTTACTGGCAGAGTGGGGATTACATGTAATATGCTGATCATATGTGTGTGCCTGTTTATCATGGGATATCATGATGCTCCTCCATGCAAGATATACAAATGCAGGAGGTTCAAGGTGCTTTTTTTTTTGTCGAGCAGTTAGGACATAAATTAGCATCTAGCAACTATGTACACTATAGCATATAACCGAATGCCAAATAGTAAAGTCTAAAGTATTATGTACACTATAGCATATAGCCGAATGCCAAATAGTAAAGTCTTAAGTACTTTGTAAGTACATCACATCCAAGGCCAAAATTTCATGATATAAAGTTAAAAAAGGTTAACAAGATTTTGACTCAGCATCAAATCCAAAATCGAAAAAAAATTGTTTCTAGGTTTAATCTTCTGGTCCCCTTGGAACCTCAATATTTGATAAATCTTTGCCCAATATCCTTCAAAACATAGCTCAAAATCATCTTGAAGTTTCGCTTAGAAAATTGACAAAGTTTGTCTAATACTTCCAGTTTGAAAAAAAAATTTGATTTTTGATATTTGGGATATTTGAGTTTTAACCCCCCGTTAGAACCAAATGAATATTGGTTCTCAGTTTTTTTTTTGTGGTGTTTTTTTTTTTATGTGCTTTCTCTTTTTGTTGTTGTTGTTTTTTGGGGGAGAGGGAGGAGGCTGCTATTGGCTGCACTGCTTTGATGTTGACTCATGATGTATTATGGGGCTAAATCTGATAACCATACCCCCATGAACGCGACCATTGGTGCGTTCCCCCACTTCATTCACTAAGTTTGTAGGTGTTTGAGGCAACCAGCTAGTTCCAAATCAGTCACCACTCCAAAAACAATCTTTGATACAATAATCGATTAGAGCTCCAAAAATGCTTCAAAAGCTGCCATCCCAAAATTGATTCTAGACCACATATTTGAATGGATGGACACATCAAATACGATGGATTTCACACCTGGCTAATCTCTCACTCTACCTCCTCTAATTAACATCACAGAATGTTCCTGGGAATTATGACCCTGAATCTAATATATCTCTTCATTGCTCAACCATATGTTGGCTATCTTAATTGGAGTTCAATTAGGTTTTTTCGGTGTTCTCATTGAAACATGCCGGCGTGCTCCTTGCTTTTGGGGACATTGATCTGAAGCTCGAGTACGGTCTGAGCACCATTTCTCTTCTTGACCATGATGAATCAATTGATTAATGTCAGCACTGCACTTTCCTTTTTCCTTCCCCCCCCCATTTTGTCCTATTACTAGTGCTTACTCTGGATCCAAAGAACCCCTTTTTCATTCATAGAGAGATCCAATCGCCAAAATCAATGAAAATGCCATCATGGGCTGAGATCCAAACAGATTTTGGGTGGTGGATTGATAATCTTGCACAAATTTTGGGTGGTGAATTGATAATTCTAAATCCAGTCACATATGGAAGAGACTGATTTGGAGGCTGTTTGGAGCTTTCTTGAGTCCTTTACACACCTCAAAAGTGGTTTTTGATGTCGGGGGTTTTCTGTTTGGGGGTTGAGGGTGGGTGTGTGTGGGGGGGCGGGGCGGGCCGGGGGGGGGCTACCATTGGTTGTCTTTGGAGGAGCGACCATCGTTCTCCTATAGGGAGCATATAGCATGCTCCCTAACGAGAATATTAATCACAGCATGCGCTTACGGTCATCCACGGTGCATCCATTGATTACCAATGGATGTGGGACAGGCCGATATGGTCTGTCCCTGCCATGTATATACTGACCATACGAGTCTCTTTAATGTCCACTCTCCACTGATGGATGGATGGACTTTGGGTTCTCTAGGGGTTAATATGAATGGCATCTCTTGTAGGGAGCATAGAATATTATATATAAGCACTAGTTGGCAGCCCTTGCAATGCGTGGGCGATACATCACAGCACAAAATTCATTCCCTCTGAATATTACATAAAATTTGAAACAAATTGTTTGGTATTGAATGAGGGCATTTAAGTTGAACCTAGAACTGCGGAGAATTTATCAAGGGCGTGGTTGTATGTGGTGTACAGTTGCCATTCCAAACCGCTCTACTCCGCCAAAAGACAGTTGTTATACTTCTGAATGTTACATCTAAAAGTGGTTTTGCTACATACATGGGCCCAACATATTGTAAATCAGAGCTGCACTAAGCACCTAGTTATGTGTGCGTGGCATATCAAGGCATGTTTTCTGCGGCTTATACACCATAGACACAAACCCTAAGGATTATCTAAGAAATCTAAATGGCATTTAAATGAATTCAAAATAGTGTCCATCAATAAAGAAATTAAAACAAACATATATCCGGGAATGTGTTGGAGACATTTACACCCAACCTAAAATAAAGTAATTGGACTCTATTAAGGGTACGATTAATTGGAGACTTTTGAGCCACTCAGGACTGAATTCTATTTCACTAAAAAGTATTATGATGAGGAAATTTGACAGGCACCCTTTCAAGGAGAACTTAAGTGTGCATACACACACAATTATTTGGCCTCTGAGATGCATGGCTCAAATATAGTAGATCATCTAAAAAGATTCTCGTCATTTACTTGCCAATGAATCATTGTTTTTATCCTGTGGCATCTCTTAGTTTTCTTTTTAAAACTCATCTTTTTATTTAATTCACTTCTTTTATCAATTTGATTGAGATAAAAGAAAAAAAAGTATCATATCCGTTCCCATTAAAATAGAAAACCTACATTAACCAAACAATTGCCATGTTGTATTACCTTCGCATTAAAATAGAGTCCAGCACATTTATCTTCAGAGTGTGATTCCTAATAATAGGGAAAAGCTGTCCTATAGTTCCATTCCATTATATTACATATATTCCTAGCGATATAAGAGTGAAGCTTCTTAATTTATATCTGTTAAAATGGGGGTTACGTCCACGTCCACGGTCCACCCCTTTAAGTTACCTTTAATTAAATCAGATGGTACCATACCTGTTCCCATCAAAGCAGCTTTTGCACCAGATTCCTACCGCTGAACCAAATGGGGCTAATGTATTGCCCCTTGTTATTTGAACCTCTCTTTTGTGTGTGCATGTGTTGTAGGACCTTGGTAAGTACAAATATGCTTTGTGGATGATGTCATACTTTTTGTTGGTGATGTCACATCCCTATAATAGTTGACAGATACACTGTTATTTTAACAACAATTTCCATGCTCCTCTTATCAAATGACATTTTCTCATTGAAAATATTTTGCGATTAGGGCTTAGGGACTTCAAATTCCAAATGTGTCCAAAACTAGTGGATCTTTTTTCTGTTTTTCGGGTGCACTAGAATTGACTGTATTTTTTTCTTTTTGGGTTCTATGTTGTGGTTCTTCTTAGTCATTACCCATATTCTCAAAGTTGTCTAGATTGGTAATCTGGTTTGATAATGACTTAAGCTTTGTACCTTCAAGTCCTGAACTTGCTTCTAACAACCGGCTGTCTTTCTGTTAGACCAAAAGTACACATTTTCATATTGTTTCCCGTAGACTTAAGTTTTATGTTATTCTTCTCATGTTTCACATACTAAATTTATGGATATTCCTTCTTGTGAGCTAGTCATTCATATGGTTCTTGTGTATGAATGATCTAATTAAGAATGCTTATACATTGTTTTCCTTATTCTTGTCACATGTACTCAAAGCATGGTATGTGTATACATGTGTGAGGATTGGTAACTGTTTTATATGAGGGAAACATGCACTTCATGTAGTTATGTCATTGGCCATATCATGTTTTTTTATGTTCTTATGCATGTTACTAGTTCTATCATTTACACAAAAAAAAGTTTATATTTAATATTTGTTATGCTCTTCTTATGTTCGAAAGTTATGGCTTTACTATTCTAAATAATGCTCACTCCTATATAGTGAACTTTGTGAGTATAAAATTTAATGTTTGTTATGCTCTTCTTATGTGCGAAAGTTATGGCTTTACTATTCTAAATAATGCTCACACATATATAGTGAACTTTGTGAGTATGAACTGTCATTATATATGTTTTCCATTTAAAAGAAAAAAAAGTCTGAAACTTTCCATTTTTTCCTCGTAGGACACTTAACATCACGAAGCGACGTCTATAGTTTTGGTGTTGTCCTCCTCGAGATGCTTACAGGACGGAGGTCAATGGACAAGAATCGTCCAAATGGTGAGCACAACCTCGTAGAGTGGGCCCGGCCTCATCTCGGAGAGAGGCGTAGGTTCTATCGCCTCATTGACCCTCGCTTAGAGGGGCACTTCTCTATCAAGGGCGCCCAAAAGGCCGCACAATTAGCCTATCACTGCCTAAGCCGAGATCCCAAAGCCCGCCCCCTAATGAGTGAGGTCGTTGAAGCCCTTCAGCCTTTGCTAAACCTTAAGGACATGGCCAGCTCCTCATTTAATTACCAAGCTATACAAGCTGAGCGTGCGGGTGCTAATAATGGAAGGACCCAACATGCCGCTCATTATGCCCTCAAAAATGGGCAGCAGCCAGCGAGAAGCCTGAGCAATGGGTCCCACTACCATCCCTCCCCTTATCGGCAGTCACCGAAGCCCAATGGTAAACACCCATAGAAAAAAAAATTCATCTTTTCTTTTCTTTACTTCTTTTCTTCTTTTGTTTATTTAATGGATTTGTATGCTTGAAGACTTGAGTGCTTGCTTATAAGCATGGATGAACTTGTTGGGGGAGTGGGGCTGGTTTTAGGCTCTGTTGTGCTGTGGAGCTTGAGGTGGATAGGTGTTTGGGAGGCGGGTTGGATGGTTTTTAAGGGAACTTTGATGGTGCACACATTGTGGGTTGTGTGCTTATAATTGTTCTGAATCTAACTGAGAGGGATGCCCTAACTGCTGCTCAAGTATGTTTTTTTCCTAGTTGACTTTTTATGCTTGAAAGAAGTGATGGTCTCCTTGATGGTTCAAGCATTGTTCGGCAGGAAATTATGTATTGGCTAATATATTTCACCTCTTTTTCTTGATTTCTTTTTCTTCGAAGCAGTCACTACAGAAATCTACAAACTTCTACGCTTTTCTTCTGTTTTGTTTTTTTTTAAAGAGTTATATGTTTCCTTCTTCCTACTTTTTTTTGGTTGAATATTTCTATTATTTGCTTGCTATTATTTTCAATTTGGGTGTTTAAACTGTTTAGATTTGGACAATTTGTGTTCTTTGCTTAGAGTGCCGGTGCATGAGCCCAGATCAGAAAAAGAAATATTGTCTGAAATGAAAAAGAATCCCGATATCGAAATTTCTATCTAAACAGGTATTCTTTCTATTTTTTTCTTTGTATTCTTGGACTTTACTGGACATTTTCAGGGAGATTTCTTATTGTTTTAGAAACTTTTGGGACCTATACTTATTGTAGTTTACATTTTTACTTTGTGCACATTAGTGTGGTGGAATTCCCATCAGGCAGATTTTCGTTTATGGATGGTTTAGGTTTTGATTTTTATGAATGGACAGTTCTTATCTGTGGAATCAAATGACATTTGGATAAATAAGATCATTGGTAAATGAGTTATACTCAATCATGGTGAGTGATTTTGTACTCGAAACAATAAAGCAGTTGGAGTGGTGCAAATGAGCCTATGTTCTTGCATTTTTTGGTTTTCTCTATCTTATTATAAATTTCAGTTCAATCAAATATTTGTTTATGGGATTATATGCTATAAGACTGTTTACCTTTCGTACAAGGTCACTGTCACCCCTAACCTTGAGATGTGAAATTGAGTTGCTGGGTTGCGTCTTTTCTCCACACAAAGTCCTTTTTAGACTTTGAGCATAGTCAATGACATATTCGCTTTAAGTCTTGAGCTGCTATATTTTACATTGACAACTAGTGGTGATTGTGACTTTTTTTGCATCGAAGGTAAATGCAATTTTTATATGCTTTCCTTCTATTTATTCTACTAGTAAAATTCTCTTGATCTATCCCGATGCACTTCCGGAGAGTTTTGCAGTTAATTTATTGATTTTGTTGTAGTATGAGTTTTTATGCTGTTAGAAATTTGAGGTTTTTTTTTTTTGTTTAATTATTTAACTGCAGGAATTTGAACCATTCCTCAGTCTCTGCTCTACACCTCTTTACAGGAATAAAATTTACAGGAATAAAATGATGAAAGCATAAGACATAAGAGAAATTTCATTAAACTTGTTTGTCTTTTTGGAAATGTTAGATAATGATGGGAATTCAGTGGGACTGTTGCTTTGGGCCAATAGTGGTTGGGGCATTCACCTCTGGGCAAGTTTTGTGACAATGAGATATGCATACTTCATTTTGTTTGGGGCAGTAGCTTTGCCACTTTGCAGGTTTTGTTTCATGGATGGCTTGGATTTTTGTTTGTATTTTGGGACGGTTCTGATGCCTAGAATCACAAGCGTATTTTTCATGCCCCCAAATATTGACTTTTTTGCAGTCTTTTTTTCAGTGATTTGTGTAATAACATATGATTAAAGGTGCGAATGCTTGTACATACTTGTTCGGTTCCTGCTCTCAAATCACTCGGGCTGACTTAGTCTCACTCGTAACAAAAATTAAAAAATGTGTTGGAAAAAAGGAGACTAACTTGGCTCTCAAATCACGTGATCTGACTTAGTCACTCGTAACAAAAATAAAAAAATGTGTTGGGAAAAGGGAGATTAACTTGGCTCAGATTTGCCCGAGTTTGATGGGGAATTTTTAACGAGAAAATTTTAGAAAATGTTAGAAAAGGGAATATTTGGGTGATTCTAAGTTTTGTTTTATTTTATTTCAATTTTTTTATTGCTTCGCTATCGAGCCAATGAGTCTCGATCAGACAGGCAAACTTTCAATTTAGTAGTTATTTCAAAAATTCCCCTAAGTTTCTTGAATTTCTTTAAACCAACTTCTTGATTAGTTACATGGCTTAACATGAATTCCACCATGCCCACAAGGAAGTTGATAACAGTCTTCTTGTTTTGAGGTCCTGATGCCCTTGTCTCAGTCTTATCTTTTGTTCTGATAGCCCTGCTTACCAGTCACCAAGGGCAAGAAACTGAAACTCATAATTCCATATAAATGTCCCTGAGAATACTCTTGTTTTTTCCAGTAGTGCAGAAAGAGTTTATTTTTGTTGTCTTTCCATTGGCCGCAAAACCCGTTATTGGCAGCGTTATGTTGATAAGCTGGGTTTGATTTCTAAAAGGACGTCCAGAAGTAACGGTGCATCAAACTAGCACACCACTTATTCCGGGGGCAACTATGAGGGAGTTGTATTTATAATCCTAATATTTGGGGTGTCCAAACAGGGCCTTTTGCATAAGGACATAAGGCACAAAGTTTAGATCATCTTTTCTTCACTTTTTTTTATTTATTATTATTTTCATTTTATTGATAATTAGGTATGGAAAAAGTTTATATAAGGTTGCAAACTAAAAATGTAGAATTAAAGATGCACTTCAATAATCCATTGGAAAATATTGTTTTAATGTTGAAAAACCTTTTAATTGATCATCTCGACATTGAGATGTATGAATGCAAAAAAAAAAAAAAAAACTGAGTCTTAAAAATAGTGTAACTTGCAACACATTATCTAGACTGCCCATTTTCGAGATTTTCATATGTTTTTAGATCAACTTGTTTTTAACTATTTTTAGAGTTCAAAATTATATAATTAGATATAAAAATAGATTTTCGGACAATGCTAAGAATTTTTTACACTCTGATATGATAAAATTTGCAGGTGTGCCTTAATTGGATTCTTTAAGCTTTCAACCTTAAAAAAACCACACGCATTAGGTATTGAGTGAATTTTCCATGCAAAGCATCTCGAAATTCAAAAAACTAGCTTTACTCGGTATCCAAAATTGGGGCAATACGTTTTGAAGAAATAGCTGTCAAAGGATGAACTTTGAAATGGAGCTAACTTTCGACCTTCATAACGCAGCCTCATACGCTTTCTCGATTCTGCCCAAGGAGCAGAATCTCTTCCTAAAGGATCACATGTTTCATTCCCCAGGAATCCATCTCTTCTTTTTCATACATCAATATGTATTACTGCTAAAAATAAGGGATAGCTTTTTGTATCTCTACAGAGTGTACTTGTATAGAGATTTACAACTTACTAATCTTGCTTGAGGTGACTTGCGAAGCAACAACAATTTCATAGACTAATGCCCACTAGACTCATAAGACCTGCATTTGTTGACCACCCCCAATCAGTGTTCGAAACCATTACTCGTGGGGAGTACTCAATGCTACTCGATGCATGTCAAGGTGAGTACTTTAGCAGCAAAATAAATAAATAAATAAAAATATCATAAAAAATACAAAAACATAGAAAATGTATGTTTAAAGTAAGATTACACAAAACACATCAAAATGAGGTTAAAAAAGCAGCAAAAATGTTATATTTTAAAAAATCAACTTGTGATTCAGAGAATTTTCAAAATAATCCCAAAAAAGATTGGAAAATGTAAAAATAAGTATCTATAGCCAAAGCACTTTCCAATCTTCGTCAAATGATAGAAAATACAAAAAAACATATCACAAATAAATTCCTCATGTTTTGGGATTTTTATTCATTATTTTGATTTTTTTTTTTTTTAATATCCCCGAGTGGTTAACCACTGCCCCCAAACTCCTGCATTTGTCGCTTTATATAAATTCATGGGTATATTGTCACTGAAAACCTCGTAGAGAAATATGGGCAGATTCGTAACATGAAACTCATTTTACTTGACACATTGCATTTCCATTTCTGTTAACATTAAAGATATAGTTCAACACATATTCCCCATAATATGTCACCAAATAACTGATTTATACAAGTGGTGTATACTAAATACGATCATCAGAAACTCTTTAAAATCCCGATCCCTCAGTGCGACGTTATATCATGCAGCTTTCCTAGTTAGCTGGTCCTTTGATGTGCTTTCAAAGATCTTATCAGCGTTGCCGACCTCAAAACCATCTCGCCTGTGAAATTCCTTGATCTGCAACAACAAATATATTTTCGATAATAAGGCCATAACAAACATGTATTCAAGTAAATTTGCAAATATAAAGTCCATCGCAAACATGAATTCATCCATATTCCATGATTTCTGCATCATAATGCAGTAGATTATAGATTCAGAACTGTATTACTTTAACCAACATTCTTCAATCCAGATACCAAGTTCATAACTATGGCCATAACCCGGTGTTGGTCCTGCCTAAGCTCGGTCCCAAGAGGCGAGGGCTGGAAACGGTCCTAACTTTTGGCTTATGCACAAAGTGACTGCTTTCAGGACTCGAACCTACGCTCTTACGCTGGCTACCCAAACCTTTTTACCGTCACACCAAGTGACAGCCCCTTCATAACTATGTGTTTCTTAATAACTTTTGCACTAAAAAATATACACTTTTATTAAATCACACCTAAGATTTAAACTATTAAACATCTCACTCGGTTCTGTTGATCTAATTCCAAATAGCCATTATTCCTTTGATCAAATTTCAAATGGTCTATCAAAGAACACATCTTCATGGGTCATAAATTGTTGGAAATTATTGGATGGATGAAATGTTAAATAGTTGATCTCTCAGGTATGATTTGACAACTGTCAACAAAAAAAAAAAAAAGTGAAAAAATATAGATGAAATGATAACATGCAATTATTTTATACTCTAAATGCCCTACTATTAAGTCTAAATGAGTAAGTCTCTTCACATTAATGCTAAATAACATCCATACCTCCTCATCAGCCAAGCCTTCAAAGTTAGGCAGCACAAGACGCTCTGCGAATTCAATGTATGAACATGGAACTGATTCGGTGATTTTATCAGCAAATTCGAAAGGTATTGAATCAGCTACTGTCGAACTTTGCAATAAAAGGCCATCAGGGCTTACTGTTCATCACAAGAAAGGATTTATGGATCAGCAATCACATTTTCATCATGCTTAAAGAGAACTGAGCAAAAATAAGAATGAAAATCATGAAGCATTGCGATGCTATTGAAAGCAACCTCATATTCTTCTGTTGAAATCAAGAAGTGGAAGGAAAGTAAATAAGAAATTGGAACAGTTGGTGGGGTACCTTGTTAAGGATTACTGAAAAGCATTTCAAATCCACCTTCCAAACAGTAAAATGTCCATGTAAATAATGAGATGTAAATGGGGAAGCTAATTGCCTAACCTTTGAGGATTCCTCCTTCTGTATTTAATCTGAATCCATTGGCTTCAATAAAGCGGTTGAGGTCATTGATGCTTCTTATATGAGACTTCAGTGAATGAACAGAAATAGTGAGGTGATTTAATGCATAACCGTTTACAAGGGTCCATGCAGCATATTCACTTTCCCTGAAAATTCACATACCATGCACGCAATACAAAAAACCCTACGTTAACCCACCAAACAAAATATGTTTTCAGTCATCTGTGTGTGTGTATGTGTGGGCATGGATGTGCGCGAGAGTGTGCATGTGTGCATGCGTGCATGTGTGTGTGTTTGATGAATCAGTGGAAAGTATATATATGCTGACCCATTAAGAAAAAAGGTGGCAAGGCATTTGACGCCTTATTTTACAAAAATATTTGGAATGATAAAGCAATCACACCTACACACAAAATAATCAAGTATTTGCTATAGATAACTCATTTTATATTAAGCATCCTGGAGCTAGCTCACAAGAGGACCCTGTACTTGCTAGGGATTGAAGTCCCGTAAACGTTAACATACCTTGACAATTGTTCATAATCAGCATACAAGGGCTTTTCCCATGTTAAAGATCCTAAAGCACTTGCAAGAGCTGCATATTTATTTCCACAAGAAGACATTTTTGTGTATTTTTTTATTATTTCCTGCACAAATGGAAGTATATACAGATTAGGCTTAATAAGACATCAGAAGAAAAGAAGGAAACTCATGAAACCAACAACCCATGACATCATTTAGTTAATGCAGTTAAAGAATGAGTACAAAATGGTTCAACAGAGTAAAGAAGAAAAACCAAATTCACCTAAAATATTTGAGAATAAGTGGGCTTATTATGCCAAATTCCATTCTATGTCAAGAAGCAAAGCAACTACCAGTGAAATTTGTAAAGTCGGACCAAAGTTTGTGTGGACATTTAAGGGGCAATCCAGGAAAGACTTCCCACTTTCCTAGAGAATTATCCATATGAATAGCAATCATAAGATTATTATAAGTTTTGATACACGATTCCCGCAAGATGCTTTATTCAAGAACTGTAACCATTCACCTTTTTCTCAATGAAACACAGCCACTTTCTTGAATGGTGCTGCTCTCTATCTTAAGAAATAGAGATGACCTAAGATTGAACGAGTATAATATAAACAAAGAGCATTGTGACTTTTAGCCTGATCAGTCAATAATGATGGATTCAAAAGAATGCTACTGTTGGCAAATGGAGAGCTAATCAGCTCAATAGGGAGTACATCAACATAGCGCAGCAGGAGCCTTTATTTTTATTGTTGTAATAGTTTGCATAAGTAGCTCTAATATAGGAAGAAAAAGGGTATCCTTGGAATTATATTTTGACAAGAAAATTTGCTTTCACAAGTGCTAGGAAGTTCACATATTCCAAATTATGTTGCCCAATCTTAGTTGAGGATTTGGTTTGTCAGCTGTGGATGGTGACACATATGGAAGCAATTTTTTTTGTAAATCAATATCGTTAAAAAACTGGACTTAGTTGTCCTCAGCATCATTTTCAGATTTGTAATGTTTGTATCACTTTATTATAGTAAATTATATCCTTCATCGTTGCATTTGAACCTCAAAAGTAAGATTACTGTTAATACAGTTCTGAATTCCAGCATGCAAGTAAAATTGTAAGCTCTAGCCTTCTTATCAATAAAATAAAATCAATTCTTCAAATATAACTCTCTAACTTAAGGGTAGAATCAATAGACACTTCTACGACTAAAAAATTATACTATCAGCAAAGAGCAATGTAACTTTTAGCCTGGTCAGAGGATAACAAAGGACACAAAGGAGTTGGCAAATGGAGAATTAATAACCCAATACCTCAACATATAGCATAAGAAGCTTTAACACGGGAAGGAAAGTTTGGACATGTCTTTGACATAACAACAAATAAATTTGCATCCGTAAGTTATATGAAGTTGGTTAGATTCCAAACTGCATGAAGCAATCGTTAAATAAAAAGTTGCTTCTTGGATGATTTTGTTCGTCACATGAGGATGGTGTATAGAGAGTACATTTGGTGTTGTTTCTATATAGACTCCTCTAAAGATACTCTCAAGTTACAATTTGTTGAAATTTGGGACCTCGGGCTCTGGTGAAATATGAAGAAACCATCTAAGTGCAGTTCCATTGGCATTACCATGCTCCAAAAGTCATTGAAGTAAGAACAGCATGTCATATTGCCCATCACTATCTGACCACCCATTTTGGTGGTTGAAGGTGACTCAGATTCTTGTACTCCCCATACTTATTGAGAATGGGAATCCTAGAGGAAACCCTTGGTCTTTCCAACAACCTAGGAGTATCACATCATCATGTTCTACAATAAATAATTAAGAGGACGATGCCCTTAATAATGAGGGTGTTGACAGAGCTTTGTTGTTGTGTAAGCCCCAAAAACTAGGTTTAAGAGTCATACGTGTAAATCTCTGTTTACCTTTAAATCCATCATCCTTTATACTTTGCTACTCTTCTAATTAATGTTAATCATTAAATAAGTAACTGCATGCATGCTATAGCAAGCAGCCATAACTTGAGTTGCAAGATTGCAGAAACAACATAGGCATCAATACAGTGATCGAAGATTTTAGCTGAGCACTGTGTTGATCATCAGAGGAACTTTTTTACTCGTATAAAATTCAGGGGACCATTTAATAGTCCATTCCAGTTAAATGCAATCTGGTTCAACTAGTTGTGAGAATTGACCTGCTACGCTATTCATATGATCCCAAATAAACAAATCAGATATCCTTGAGAATCTTTCTAAGAATAAAAGGAGAAAAAAAAAACAACCATCCTCACCACATGTAACTCCATGGAAGTTTTATGAAAGGTTCATGTGTTGAATCATCATCATCATCTTCATTATCATATCCTTTTCCCAATTATTTGGGATCAGCTACATTAATCTTAGTCCGCCAATCTATTGTAGATTCAGGATTCATGATAAGTTTTGGCAAAATTTTACGTTGGCTGCTTACCTAACACAACCCAACCCTTTTACCCGGGCATGGGACGGGTTAAGGGAAAGTTTAAGGTCATCACCTTTCTTAGACCATGTTAAATGCTTATTGATATCTGTCATCAATTAAGACCTAGAGTTACCTGTGCATGAGGACTCATCTCTTCCACAAGAAGCTCTGATATGAAAACTCTTGGCAGAGGTCCCATCACGCCTTGCTCTTTTGGACAATGAACATTTTTAGGTGGAGAAAACCATAAGGCTTTCAATTTTTTTGCGGGAAACCTCAGTTCTTCACGAGTTGTGTAACCAAAATCGAGAAAGAATTTCGCCATGGAGTCAATCCCATAACCATCCACCTTAAAATATAAACATGGAAAACACAACATATATCAATATTAGGTTCAGTGTCAAGGAAGAATAAAGAAAGTGTGATATATATAATCCTTAGTGAACAAGAACGAAACCAGAAGTACCCCAAATGTTCTGAAAGCAAAATGATCATAGGAAACATGATCGCCATCACATGAGTGCACAAGGTTCAATATAGCCTTTGCAGATGCATTCCTATTCAGATAAACTTCCTCCATGCTAGCCAGCACATTTCTGAGAAATGATTGAGCAATCTGCAACAAATACAGCTTTAGTTATCACCACAATCTCTTCTTTCTCTTCAAAATGGGTTTTGCATGCATGATCATCAAAACTAAACCTTCACTTTTTCCTCCATTAAATTCAACATGTGCAATCATCTACATATTGAAATGAGTTAGATCCAGACAGCCATATCATATATAACACCAGCCCTTACTTTTTTGTGTTCCGTGGAAAAATTTTAGTGTTCCCATACTTATGTGGAAATTACATGGGACCATTGCATTTCCTTTACTTCTAAATATGGTATTTGCTTATAATACAGTTCGTGAGCCAAAAGATAAAGTATAAAATAACGCTCTATAACTTCAAAAAGGAGGACAGTTACTATAGCTTCAAACGTCTTGTTGATGCATTTTTATGCTTCAAACGCAATACACACAATAACCACATAAATGCTAAGTAAGCTCTGTGCTGGCTCATTCAATAATGTATATACAAGTGTGAATTTCAGTATCCGATCACAATTGCATAGGTAATGGTAAAAGAAAAACAAACCAATAATTTGGGAAATAAAAAAAATGTGAAATGTGAACTGAATGTTAAATAACATTGAAGCTCAATAATTTCAAACTGAGTTCTTTTCCAATTTCCCAATTAGCTGAAATAGAAAACACAACACTCTTGTTTGGAATCAAACACACTATATTTTAAGCTAGAGATCATGTCTCAATTTTCAAATACTCAAGCAAAGGGTTTCCAGCTCAAATTTGATTCAGCATTCTATGACTTGTCCGAGGACTCCTGCGCGTTAATTTGACTCCCCCTATGGGCAAGGCCGAGTAGGGGCGAGTTCCAGTGCAACCTCACCGGACCCTTATCAAGGAGGAAAAATAAAATAAAAATAGAAAATGTAAAAAAAATTGAAAACACTACCATATTACTTACGGTAAGTTTTTTGGATTATTTTGATAGTATTTAAGGTGATTTGGGAACTTTCATTATTGTTTTAAAAAGCTGACCACCAAGCGCCTAGGTGGGCACCCAACGCCTAGCCCAGGCACAGAAATACCCTTTGTTTAGGGGTTTTTTTGGTGGAGAGAAACCTAAGAAAAAACTAGATTTTGTGATTTCATTATTTTAGATAGAGAGAGAAACCTTAAAAAAACTAGATTTTGTGATTTTCATTGGATCGAAGTGTTTCTCAAAGTTACGAGAAATCGATCCAAACATCACCCATTAAGATTAAATTTAGTTTTGGAGTTTTTTTAGACCTATTAGAGGGTGTTTTTGAAGATTTTAGCACTAGAAAACATCTAAGTGGTGGAAGTTTTGAGATGAGCAATCAAAGTAGGTGCAAAATTTTATTTTTTAGATTGCTTGTATTATTTTGAAATGTCTCCTACAGGATCTAGTCGAAGTGGTGATCCGGGTTGGAAATATGGATATAACTCAAATCCTTTGGATAAAAATTGCATAAGATGCAATTTTTTTTTGAAATGTTGCATAAGATGCAATTATCAGAGAGGAGATAAACCAATATATGAGTTCAGTAAAACACAAACAAAGAACAAAATCCTTGTCATTTGGATAAGTCTATTTCTGGTTTCGCTAGAAGAATGATCTTGGTTGGAGGTATGGTTCTAACCTGAAACCAAACGATAAAAGTTGTATAAGGTGCAATTTTGTTGAAAACGATACCAATGGAGGTATTAACCAATTCTAGAAACACCTTGCCAGTATTAAAGGGGATGTTGCTTCTTGTAAAAAGGTTCCTGAAGTTATTTGGGATGAAATTAGACAATATTTAAATTTAGTAGAACCAGAAAATGAAGAAAATGAACCTTGTTCTATGAAAATATCTTCTCCATGTTCTTCTAGAATTGGTGATCCGGGATGGAAGTATGGTCATAACCTAAATCCGAATGACAAATATCGTATTAGGTGTAATTATTGTGTAAAAGATACTAATGGGGGTATTTACCGGTTCTAGAAACACCTTGCCGGTATTAAGGGGGATATTGTCCTGTGTAAAAATGCTCTTGAGGTTACCAGGGAGGAGATTATATAATATTTGAGTTTAGGGAAGCACAAAAAGAAGAAAAGGGTGAACATGCACTAGGTAGAGCAGCCAAGACTCCGAGGGCCTCATCTACACAGAGTAAGAGGGGGGTAGAAAAAGAGGAAGAAGAGGTAGATTCAAAAGAAACAGAAGAGGATGAACGTTATGTTGAAGAGGGAGATGACTCTGATAATAATGTCCTCGAATCTGTTACATATGATGAGGCCTACTCTACTCTTACTGATGATGATGATAATGATGACTGAAGAATGAAGACGCTTGACTCTTTGTGTTGACTATTGAGACTTAGACTGTATATTTTCTTTTTCTTATTTTTTAGTTTCTAGTTTTTAGTATCTAAGTCTTGTGTGTATGCTTGAATGGTTCTAGAATTGTATGAAAATATGGATTATGGACTATCTAAATTCTTTTCATTCATGGAAATATGGATTATGTGTTACATAGTTATATTGTTGGACTTAGACACTTAGACTACATACATTTTTCTTTCTACTGAGCCCCCTAGGTTCTTGGTGTCCGCCTAGGTGCTGGACTGAACGGCCTGGACCCCCTAGCTGCCTAGGTGCTGCCTAGTGTTTCTGGGCGGCCTAGACCCCTCAACTGCCTAGGTGCTGCCTAGCTTTTTTAAAAATATTAAGGATTTGACCCAAAATTTTCAAATTCATCTTTATAGAGTTTTTTCATCTTGTTAGACCTTTAATTTTTTACTGTCTTTTATGTTTTCTTCTTATTTTTTAGTATTTCAATTTAAAAATTTCCTTTTTTTTAACTTTTTTTTGGCCATTTATTAGGTTGTGCGGGACTCGACTGAGTAACTCGCCTCAGTCAAGGGCGTTGTCCCTTGGCCGAGTTGAGGTTCTGACCAGTGAGTTGGTTTCTTCCTTATCTATAGAGCAAATAAAAAAACAAATGAAACCCCCTAAGCTGCATATAGATGACATCAAGAAGTCACTATCAGGCCAGATTTTTTCTTTCAAATGTAGTTTTGCTCTTTATAGCAGTAACATAAATGATGATGATGATGATGATTATAGAGGCTTCCATTGATGAAGAAATTAAGAGAAGACATCAAGACAATCAGCAAAAAGATAAAATCTCAATTCACAACTAAGGAAACATAATGCTAAGAAATGAAGGTAAGAGTTTCTGCTTTGTTAATTCCATTGGGAAGAGTCAGATCAAAGAGGCATGGTTATATCTACCTCCTCCTAAATTAGTTTTATTCAATCAACACAGAAACAAAAATCAGAACCAGTGAATCAGAACTATGCAAGACTTGCTCAGTCTCGCCTGAAACACGACCATGGGAAAAGTCTCAACAATTGCCAACATTTTTAAATAATATCTCTCAGGAGTCGGCTGAGTCTCTGACAAACTATGGAATTGGGCATGTCCAAGTTTCAGACCAATCACTAAACAATCAGAGATCAATTCAAATACAGAAGAAGACCGTTTCTTCAAAGCTCAAATCCTGAGGTTCAAATGATTTGTCTTCCTTCAATTCACATCCTCACCGAACAAAAGAAGAAGCGAGTAACAAAAAAATGACTAAATATGATAAAAACAAAGAGATTTTGTATATTAGTGAAGTATGGTAAAAAAAAAAAAAAAAGAGATTTTGTATATTAGTGATGATAATACCTATAAATTTGCCTGCATGATCAGAATTTGTTTTACTGTTACTGTTACTGTTTCTTTCCCAATTTTAGAAGCAAAATGGAGTCCAGGAAAAACGGGATCAAAGACCTAAAGTGAAGAAGCCAAAGCTCTAAATCGTCATAGAAAATAATTTGTTTGCAATGGAAGTCACAGAGCATGAAAGATTGCATTCATCTGTTTGTTTATCAGATTATTTCTTTATTTAGAAGAAAAGAGAAGCCGGAAACTGTGAAGAAGAAGATCACCTGAGAAGAAGAAGTTGAAGATTCATCCATTCTAGAGCAGGACACCGTGAAGAGTCTCCTATTACTGTAAATCTTAATGGAAATGTTTCCTTTAATGGCAACGGAACTTCGATATCTAAGAGACAGAGGAGAAGAAACAGCGGACAATGAAAGGGAAGATCGCTTTGCAGAGGAATTAAATAGGGAAATCCGGGTGGGGGCCCTCGCAGCCTCCATTTTCGAGAGAGCGAACAGGAAAGATGAGAGGGAAACTCAAAAATTAAGAAAATTTTATGAAATCAAGAGTGCTATAACATTTCATTGGAGAGAGAAACAAAAAAGCCTTGTAACTTCAAATAGAGTAACTCTGAAAATCCATTGCTAGAGAGAATATTGAGTCTTCTGAGTCCTGACTTAAAAGGCTTGCTAGAGAGAGAGAGAAACATGGAGGGGACTATTTCCGATGGAAAGCTACTTCAAAGTTATCATGATGGCTCCAAAATTAGGGGCGGCAACAGGTCGGGTATGGGTTGGGTCGGTCCTTTGGACCCGGACATAGCATTCGGGTTCAGGTTTTGGATTGAGACCCAACTGTTCGGTTCGGGTCCAAAAGTTGGACTTATACCATACCCATTGGGTTATTGGGTTTTGGGTCTGATCGGATCCATTACCACCTTCATTATGAGTTTTTTATTTTTTTATCATCATATACTTATATTACCAGCAACAAGCTCGCATTCACTCGCCATCAGATTTCAAGTCGTCTCTTTTGTCGTTTAACAACCTACAATCACCCGCTAATGTCGTTTAACAAGCTGACAATCACCCATTAAAGATGATCACGAGTTTTTATTGTATATGATTCTTAAGACACTTAAACGAGTAGGACTTGAAGTATTTTATCTTCAACAATTTATAGGTACAGGTTGAATCCAACCGGACTCGGACCCAGACCCTTACCTCACCCGTCGGATCTAAATGTTGGACGTATACCTGGACCCGTGTTAGGTATACTCGGAGGATCCTGAGTCAATTCTGGGTCCATTGCCACCCCAATTCAAAATCAATTTCCAACACTGACAATGAAATTTGAAACGCAATAAATGGTATAGATCTTACATATAATACTTACTTTTAAGAGAAAATAAGCCGTTTACGATATATATTATTTTTAGAGCTTAAAATCCTTTTTTTTTTTTCACAATCATAATGTTCAAGCCGGGGTGATGTAAAGCTTCTCCATTGCTTGAATTGTAATTTTTCATGAGTTATGAGGTGAGGTTTTACTTATTTTCTATTTTAAAAATATCAAAAAATTATATTTTTAAAATTTTATATTCATTTCAAATTTATGATCACCTTAGCTAAATGATGAATCTATAAAAAAAGAATTAAATAAAAAATCCATATTTAAAAAATAAATACATAAAAAGTCCATCTTTAAAAAAAAGAATTAAATAAAAAATCCATCTTTAAAATGGATTTTATTGAAATGTAAAAAAATTGGGTACTTACTTTCAAGAGAAAATGAACGGTTTAGATAATTTGTTACGATATATTTTATTTTTAGAACTTAAAATCTTTTTTTTTTCATAATCATACTGTTCAAGCCAGGATGATGTAAAGCTTCTCCAATACTTGAATGGCAACTTTTCAAGAGTTACGAGGTTAGGCTTTACTTATTTTCTATATTAAAAATATCAAAAAAAATATTTTTTTAAATTCATCTTTAAAATGGAGGATTTTATTTATTTGAAATGAAAAAAGGATTTTATTTATTTGAAATGAAAAAAGGATTTTATTTATTTGAAATGGAGGATTTTTTTTATTTGAAATGAAAAAAATATGGGTAAAATCCACCTCATATGAGGTGGGCATCCTTAACCGCATACTTTTGGTAACAAGAAACACCGAAGTCTGTTCCCGTCCTCATCAGGGGAGATGTCAACCGTCTCTCCTATTAAAGAACACAAGGGGGCTGTTTTGCGTACCAAGTTATATAATATAGGCATCAAATTTAAGTCTTCGATGTGGGAATGCGAACTCTCCCTCTCCAACGTATATAATATACGCATCAAATCTAATTCTTCGATGTGGGAATGTGAACTCTCCCTCTCTCCAAACCTGGATATCTTTGTCTGGCACCAACCTCTCTAGTACATTTAAGAACCCACAATTTATTACACGATCTGACTCAATTGTTGTGAGACCTCTCTCTCTTTCTTACTAGAATTTGTCTCTTTCTCTCTCCTTACTATGATCTCTGTGGTTTCTCTCTCTACGTAAGATCTCTTTGTAGTCTCTAATGAGGTATTGTGGGGTCTCTCTGTGTACCGTGCGATCTTTTTGTTTTTTTGGCTATGGAATTGCTCTTTGATGTTTGAAAAACACATATTGAAGTTGGTATTCGCCAGTATCTAGAGTTCGAATCACATAGTTTGACTCGAGACTCGCTCGAGTTGGATCATGTATTTTATTAAAGGGATGGCATCGTGTTCACATGATGCAAAACTGAATTTTCATATACAGATTTTTTTAATTTTAGGTGTTGCTGACATTTCATGTATCTGGATCACATATTGTTCTAATATATGTTAATCTTGTACTTGTTTGGCTATCTACTTATATTCCTAAAATTTGCATCAGCTAGGCAAGGCTCCTCGGGCCGCTCCTGTACAAAAAACCAGCATGTCATGGGTAGGTAGGACCAAGGTAATCATTTTATCTCTGCCCACCGGAACAAGCACTGCTCGTGAGGAATAAATAATTTGATAGTGGGATACAACAAATCTCCTCGGTTCACAATCCCTCCCACATGGATGACATGGCTATAAACGAGCTGGATTGGTCATGCATTCTGAGAGTCTTTTTGTGGCACAAATGGGAAACTTTGGAGATTGAGCGGGAGAAAGGGTGAGGGACAAATGGAAAAAGCAGCATCGATCTTCTTCTTAATCCATAGTAGAGAGTCTTTATATTATACAATCATTATACAAGAGGTCTTAGCTCTTATTGGAATGGATGGATGACCCAAGCAAAAGTATAGCTTCTCTTTGCTCATAAGTTTGTTTGCAGCAGTAGGGGCAGGTGCTACAATCTCTTGACTAGACCCAGAACTAACAATGTCAAAACCATCTCTAATAGAGACACCTCCCACAACAGTATGAGCATCTCCAATAACAGCAGTTTTAAGAACATCCATTATAACATCATCTTTGAAACTACCATGAGCATCAAGAGTAAGAACAACACTTCTAGCTTCATCTTGAACATTAAGATTCCCAATATCACATTCCCAATATCAGTGCCTACAGTGGCAGCCTGTGCAACACAAACTGAAAGTCCAATACCAACGTCTCGAACATCATCACCCTTGAAACCATCACCATGATAGATCACAACATTCTCATAACTTAGTTTTGCAATATCGTCTCCTTCATGACGCCCAAAAGCAGATCTATTAAGAAGAGAGGGAAGATCTTGACAAGAAAGAGGGTTCATATATTGCTCATTACTGTCCTCTCCATCTAAATAAAGCACCGACCCACCACCTAAATAAAGCACCGACCCATAGAAATACTGTTGAAGATAATAAGAGAACAAGTCAAGATAATAAGAGACCAAGTCAAATTACTTGGTCATCATCACGTTAGTTATTGGTAATAGCCTCCTACTATTTACTTCTATCTTCAAGATTCATTGTGATTATGAGGCACTTATTGATATAATTCTTATCAAAAAATAGTGAAGATGTAGCCCACCATGAAATATTGTGTTATCTCTCGATTCAATGTATGAATGCTCCCACGAATCTTAACATGTTATCAGAGCAGTGTTTTGTCTCGATCGATTCCCACTGTTTAAGGTGCTCTTTTGCGGTGCTGAAAAACCTTTTATCGGGGCCTCCAAACCGCTATTTTTAGTTGCGAAGTATTCCCACTCAAAGGAAGGGTTCCAAAGTGGGTTTTTGGTCGTGCGATGGTTGTTTTGGAAGAGAGATGCATTGTTTTCTTTGATACGCCTCGGGATTGCGAAGAACTCTTCTACCTCTTCATCGTTGTGGGTTGGGGTTGTTGATCGTGTTAGTGGTACTGCATAGGCATGTCATCACCATCTTCTTTCTCTCTCCCCTTTGGAGATATGGAGATGAGATGAGTAGGGATGAAGTCAGCATCTATTCCCCCTTGGAGATATGGAGATGAGATGGGTAAGGATGAAGTCAGCATCTATCCGTAGAGATATTTGCGGCCGTCTGTTTAATTCTCTGTTGTCGTACATGTATGGAAAAATTAGTGGTATTTTAGTGGTATTTTTTTAAGATGTGGGCTATTATCTGGAAGCCAAATTTCATTGGCATTTTTTTAATATGCTTATACTAAAAAAATGTATTTTGTAAGTTGGGTGTTCCTTCGCATCCACACCCAACTTGAGGGGGAGAGTATAGGAGATATGGAAATTGAAGGGGAGAGTATAGGAGATATGGAGATTGAAGGGGAGAGTATAGGAGATATGGAGATGAGATTTCTACACCCAATTTGAGGGGGATATTATAGGAGATATGGAGATTGAGGGGAGAGTATAGGAGATATGATGAGATCGCATCTATACCCAACTTAAGGGGGAGAGTATAAGAGATATGGAGATTGAGGGGGAGATTATAGGAGATATGGAGATTGATGGGGAGAGTATAGGAGATATGGAGATGAGATGAGTAGAGATGAAGTCAGCATTTCTAATGTAATTGATGGGGAGCACATTCATGAACAGATTTTTCAAGGAGAGATATTCTCCAATCTTCAGTTTTCATTGCCACTTTATGTTTTGTCACTTTTTGTGTTTTATAGCCGTCTTTATTGTGCCACATTATGTTTTTCAAGGAGAAATATTCACCAATCTTCAGTGTTCGTTGGCACTTTATGTGTCTTATAGCCATCTTTGTTGTGCCACTTTGTGTTGCCACTTTATGTGTCTTATAGCCGTCTTTGTTATGCCACTTTATGTGTCATATAGCCGTCTTGGTTGTCTTTGTAGCATTTTTAATGGTCTTTAGCACTTTTAATGGTCTTTAAATCAAGTTTAGTGATCACGTGTCCCAGATCACCAGATTATTCAAACACGTCAGTGAAATCAATGCAAGTTTTTTGACAACTTTTTGGGTTCAATACTCCAGTTTTTTCGTTTCAATACTCCAATTCTGGTTTCAAGTTTTTTGGTTTCAATACTCCAATTTTGGTTTCAATTTGGTTTCAATACTCCAATTCTGGTTTCCGTTTGGCAAGTTGGGCACTTCGCATCAATCAGTGCACCAGTCTTGCAGAAAAGAATCAGTGCACCAGTCTTGAAGATAAAAATCAGTGCACCAACTTGAAGATTAGAATCAGTGCACCTACTTGAGGAGGAGTCTTGAAGATAAGAAGAGACAAATCAAGTTACTTGGTCATCAAGTTAATTATTGGTGATAAGGCCTCTTACTATTTACTATTACTTGGTCATTAAGTTAATTATTGATTACTTATTGGTGATAAGGCCTCTTACTATTTACTTATTTCTCCAAGATTCATTGTGGTTTTCCTCTATATACAGAGGCACTTATCTATGTAATTCTTATAAAAAAATAGTGAAGATGTAACCAGTTGGATATAATTCTTATAAAAAAATAGTGAAAAATAGTGAAAATATAGCCACTTGGGGTCTTGAACATAGGTAGAGAGTCATCAAGTTATTTATTTGTTAGTTATTGGTGATAAAGCCTCTTATTATTTACTTTTATCTTCAAGATTCATTGTGATTGTAATTCTTATCCAAAAATAGTTAAGATGTAGCCAGATCTATTGACTCATAAAGCTTCGGAGTGAAGCACGTATGTTGACTCCCAAAAAGATTACGTTCACGACAAACAAGCAAAACATTTCCAAAACAGCCTTTCCACATAGTTGAATGACTCTCAAACTTAGTGGGAGAACTAGAGAGAGAAGGGAGATAGCAGGTTAAATGGCCATATACATGTTAACGAAAATAAGTGAGGCAAAAACCGAAGAATTATTGAAAGCAGTCTTGTTCGAGCTCTGAATCCAAGCCAAGTCGCATTATTCATGGTTTTTGCGTTTATAATACGGCCTGCACTCTCATACGTCGGTGGTTGGAGAGACCCTCTCCACTTTCCATTGATTTATCTCCCAACTGTAACTTCATTACAGGGAAGAATTTTCCAATGGGTACAGGGAAAATTACAAAAAAAAAAAAATTAAAAAATTAAAACCCCAAACTATATTTTTTATGCAACTTGTTTCCAACCTAACTTTTTTTCTCACTTTTTTCCTCAAAGGGGAAAATTTATATAGAGCCAAGGCTCTAAAACAATCAAATTTGAGCCTCCCTCAAAACTTTCACTGGAAGATATTTTTTTGATGCTCAAATATCCTCAAATTAATCATCTCGACATCAAGATACATGGACATGAGAAAAAAATGGATTTCAAGTTTTGGAAATAGTGTATTTTGTAACGCATTTTTGGACCGTCAATTTTCAAGATTTTCAAGTTTTCATAGATCTGTCGATCTACACTATTTTTGAAGCTTTAAACTTTATAAATAAAGATTTCCAGTATTGAAACCGCATTTCTCGATACTATTTGAAGGTAGCCTCTAATTTGATTGTTTAGAGCCTAGGCTCTATACATATTGCATCCTTCCTCAAAATATACTTTCTATGCAACTACCCCTCCCAACCAAATAAAAAATAAAAAAATACCTAAACTACCCTTTTTTACTTTTACCTTACCCAAATCTGGCACTGTAAAATGCGGTTCAACAATTGAACAGGTAATCCGGTAGTTGCAAAAGGTAATCCAGTAGTTGCAAAGGTGTCCGATAGTTGCAAAGAGCGGTTCGGCAATAGACGTTACTGGATTCTAAGGCTCCAGTTCCAAGGGGACTTTCCCTTAGGCTCCTTGAGGCGTTCGCTTCCTTTTAGTCAGACTTCTCTCGCTCACCTTCGCTCGCTTACCCTCAAACTAGAGTCTCGCCTTACCCGTAAACATTTCTTAGACTGACTTTACTTGCTTCAGCGAACTAGAATGCAGGACTGGCTCTAGTGGCTCGCTTCACTCGTCGTCACAACTGCCTTCACTCGCTTGATCTGATCCCAGCAATCCCTACCTACCCCAGTCCATCCCTTCACCCGGATAATGACCATTGTTGCACCTCTGGAAGCAGACAGAAAGAGATGGCAGGGTCAGCGCCTGTGGATTCAGACCCCGAAGGGGGGGAGGAGGGGATACTTTATGCAAGCTAACACTTCCTTAAGGAAAGACATAACCCTACGGTAGCTCCGATAGTTGCAAAGAGCGGTCCGGCAATAGACGTTACTGGATTCCAAGGGTCCAGTTCCAAGGGCGGTTGGGCAGTACTCAGTTTCGGTCTGGTAGTTGCTGTAGGGCGGTCCAGCACTTATGCGCTTCGGGATAGTTGTTGTAGGGCGGTCTGGCACTTGTGCACTTCGGCAACGTGGGGTGGTCCGACACTTGTGCGCTCCGCTGTTTGGCACTTGTGCGCTGTCGGACCGGCAATGTGGGGTGGTCTGGCACTTGTGGGCTCCTACAATATGACGGTGGTCCGGCACTTGTGCGCACCTACAATATGATGGTGCGTTCGGTCTGGTAGTTGCTGTAGGGCGGCCCGGCACTTGTGCGCTCCGGCAATGTGATGGTGCGTTCCGACAATGCAATGGTGAACTCCAGCAATCGCTACGGGTCCAAAAGTCAACTTCAAATCTGGCTAAAATGATTTTTGTGTACGGGAAGGCATTTCGGTCTGAAAAATAAACTTTTTTTCTGCATAAAAAGTTTGTTATGGAGAAAAAAGTGAGAGGAAAAGTGAAGTTTGAGGTAAATTGCATACAAATTGTGGCTTAGTTTTTTCTTTTTTAAAAAAAAATTGCCTTTTCTCTACTCTGATTTGTATTCTTGAACTCTGATTTGTATTCTTGAACTGCCTTATTAACAGTGTACACATCTTTGAAGATCACAAATGCGACTAACCCTAACTTTCACCCTCTAAAAAGCACCCTTTGGCAATTGCTAGGCTTAGAGAGAGAAAATGAGACCCAATAAATGCCCATGTCAAAACCTAATTCTAAGGGATTCGGAAGGAGCAAAAAAATATTAGATAAAGGAGAAGAATGAACTAAAACTAATTCAGCCTTCACATGGAAGAAGGCATTAAAGATGAAAGGCAAGACCATTAGAGGTTTGAGAAGAAATAGATATTCTCTTGAGGACACTTGGTAAATGAGCCCCAAACCGCAGCGCTCAAATGGGTTCTCGCTTTCTTTGTAAAGTTGAATGGGTTTACTTCTTGGTTGATGCACTTTCTAGAGAGAGAGAGAGTCTTTTTCTAGAAGGCAAAGTCCAAAAACTATTGAGAGAGAGAGAGAGAGAGATAGAGGGTGTCTGCGTTGTTGAGAAAAACACAAAAAAAAATGGACTAGGAAGATCGAGAAGAGGGAGAGGAGGGGGTCTCATAAGATACCAGAGGAGAGAGGACAAAAAAATTTTGACGGATAAATCGAAAGCCGCAATTTAGCATCCTTTATTTTAAATTCAAGTCCCCCATGTTATTTAGAAGATACTGATTTTGCGTTAATATTCAAATCTCATGCGATTCAATTAGCTGCTTTGACCATATTGTGTTAAAAAATATCTAAATCAGTAGAGAGTTCGTAGAGAGTAAAATACTGGAATATCTTAATATTATGTGCTTGTCAAACATACCCAAGAGTTAGTAGAGAGTAAACCAGTGTTGTCAGATTCGCTTAACTTCGGCCGAAGCTTTCAGATTTTAGACCTAGATCGAAGCAAAGCAAAGCCTGATGCTGCTGCTTCATGCAGCTTCGGGTCTACTTTGAGGCTATTCAGCTAAAGTTAAGCCAGGCGAAGCAAAGAGATATATACATAAATGTTCTTTTTTTTTTTTTTTTAATGTAATTTTTTTTTTAAATTTTTTTTCATGACTTTGATATTTTTTTATATACAAATATCTAATTTATTTACATTAAATTAAAAAAAAAGTCCAAAATCTTTCATCAAATTAATTGGAGCACCGCATTGCGTCATTTTTCTCATTAAACCGAAATCATTTTTCTCATTAAACCGAAGAAGACTCTGAAGTGAATTTGTCAACATTGAGCAAATCCCATGTTTATGAAAGGAAACTCGCAAATTCTCTCAAGTTTAAAAACAACATTCCAATTCACATATATCATTCAAATTCCAAAGCAAAAAATGGCGCTCCCAACATAAAAAGCAGCACCATTTTTCATTCTTTACTTTAAGCAGCTGAGTCTATACACAAAAGAATAGGAGCATCTCCGGAAGTTACACTCCTTGTGAGAAGTGATAGGATTTTATGCATCTCCTGATTTACATTCTTTCCTTCCCTATTTGCTCTTGCATGTGGAATCCCTAAATAACATATTCATGTTGACACTCTCTCTCCTGCTCTCTCTGACCTACTGAGTAGCGTCCTCCGAGAACCTCGCATCAAAGGGTGCCGACGGGTGTGAGTGTGCAGCCATGGTCCCAGCATTTGCAGCCCCAGAACCTTGCTGAAGCTCAATCACAAGCCATCTAACTGCCTTGCTCATTTGCTCCAACCTAACTGCACTGATTGGTGGAAGAGATGGTGCTTGTGATGATCGCAAATTGGCCGGAGCTGGGCCTGTGGCCTCATCAACTAAGCACTCTGAACCCACCCTTTGTTTCACCGATTCCACTAACTCCTCTGCTCGATCACAAGCTACTCTGAATAGCTCCCATCTTTGCTTGAAATTCTCAAGAGCTGCATCAGTGGCCTGTGTTTTCTGACCACCAGAGAGCTCTTTGGCCTCCAAAACACCTGCAACTGATGCTACGAATTCCTGATATGCTTGGCTTAGAGCATCGATGCTGCTCTCCATAGAATTGATCAAGCCTTAGACCATGAATTGGGAATCAATGATTCCAGAGGAAGAAAACTGAAAGAAATGACAATTTTTGATGAAAAAAACATGAGAGGGAAGCATTCTAAGTTGTTAGAGGGAAAGAGCCATTCTGCATGTTAGAGAGAGAGAGAGAGAGAGAGAGATGAAAATACTTTAAAAAACACAAATTTAAACATGATATCAAATTTACATTATTGAGCATAAACATGATACAGTTTCAAAATTATAACAAGATGAGTCTGCCCTGAGTTATGGTGATTGCAATCAATTTCTCAATAGTCAATAGCAAGGGCAAAACGCATTGCCAGAGCCATAAGGATCAATACAACAATAATATCATCCAACTAATAAGAAGGAACCTTCTTCTCTGTTTATGAGTTAACAAATTCGTGGTAGAACTAATTGGTGGATTTCAAATACAACTGTGAAAAGTCCTACAAAGGGTGCTTGTAACTGAGAAAAAGACTAAAGACTAAGGGTGACATCCAAAATAAGCTCCCTTGACTATATTATTTATAAGAGTTAAAGATCGAATCGTTTATTAGATTAATAATACTATCATTTGCATTATAACTGCTCTATGCTTAAACATAATCACCAAATAGAGGAAATATCCCTCCCCCCCTCCCTCCTCGCCACCGCCTTTCTCTCTCTCTCTCTCATATCAAGCGAACACCCTGCAAGAGGCAGAGCTCCATAACTTCATACTATTGTGATATATCTATTGCTTCTTATACTAGGGTACAAGAGGCAAGAAGTTTCAGATCAGACCCTTAAAAGTTTGAAGCTCTATGAACTTCTCAGACAGAAAATGAGCCCATCGAACAACAGCTATGAAGGCCACTCTCTTACCAGGTTGCTTAAGCTTGAGAGATGAATAGTATCAGCTAGAAGAGTGGGGCAAAAGGTCCTTTGAGAATTGACAACATGACATCAAGAGAAATGGGGATGGTGTCATGGAAGCCAAAATATATATTTCAGTAGCAACAAACTCATCATATGAAGCAGTTATAAAAATAATGGAAGCTAAGAATGAATACCATGACCTTGGAAAGTGGGAGGACAAATACATAAAGAGTGCTCAACATCCAATAAGCCAGGAAACAAATGAATCCAACAGAAGAAGCTAAAATAGTTGCCTCTAGTCACAAATAAATCTACTGGTTCTGGCATTATTGAGTGGAACTATTTCCCTAAGGAAAAAGGCTTTTCTCTATCTCGTAATTGATGTCTTTGACCCCACAACAATGCTTTCAGCAGCCTCCATGATGTAACCTAAGATCATTTTCTCGCTAATACTTAACTACAAGACCCCAAAACGTGCTTGGAGAGCACTTGAAATTAAACTAAGGCAGAATATCTACAAATTCAGCAGGTATTCATCCATAAAAATAAGTAAACAAACTTGTGAAACTTTACACGCAATTTTAGAAACTTATCAACGTCCAGGAGCTGAGATTTTCGAATCAATAATGGATTGAAATATTTCGTTCAGTAAAATCAGCCAAAAAAAAATTGAGCTCGAACAAAATTTAAAACTAGTCCACCATATTTAAAAAAACAAAAATTTAAAATTAGTCCACAACTTGGAGAGAAGAAGAGGGTGTAGAATAATTTCAAATTTAATTCCAGAAGGTCTCCTCAACTAGTTCTAAGGTTTTGAAGTTAATGGGGCAAAAGGAAAAATTAGGGTTGACTTTAGATGCAAAATTAATATTAAGGTTTGAAGGGATTTATTTAGGGTTAATTCTAGGCAAAACCTAAGGGCTAATTATGAGGTTTTAGAGGATTTCTATTGGGGAATATTTGCTGGTTTTTAGAGGATTTCTATGGTCGTCAATTAATGTTCAAGAAGCCCTTTCTAAGGTTTTTCTTTATTCATAAGTTCTCCAAAATAAACGTTGATGTCCCTCTCTCTCCTTTTTATACATGATTGCTCAAAAAAATACTTAAAACGCCCCTAACTAAAATAAACTAATAAAATGACCAAACTGCCCATGATTTCTCTACAACATTCAAAAGACATAAATACCCCTACGTAACTAAAACAGAAGTCCAAATAAACCTTGTTTTCACTCTCCAAAAAAAAAAAAATCGAGCACTTAATAAAAATTAAATTACATTGGTCCCATAGAAGGCCATGATGTCCCCATCACTCCAATAGCCCCCTATATAAGCAACAAGATGGCACCTTCTTTCTCCTCAATCCTGGAATAAGACCCCTTACTGGTGATGCCACCCAAAGCTTGCTTGTTATTGATTAGGCATCCCCAGTCTTGGATTTCATTTTATTATTATTATTTTATTTTATGGAGAATATTAACCTTATATTAATGTAAGAGAAATAGTTCAAAAATCTGCTACCCAAGACCCGGGAGCTATATGTACACTAAAAAATTGTCTCCCCTCAAAAGGGAGCACTCCACTTAATCCCAATTGATAAGACACACCTATCAAAATTGCCATCAAATTAATCACATAATTCCTAATACACACTATGGAATTCCTAATACACACTATGGACAATACTACTAAACCTAAAAACCAAAGATTATTGTGTTCTAAGAACACATTTCCAGGTTCAAACAAATAGATTTCGATTATTCTCAAGATCTCATAGTATGTTTCATTTGTTGTTTTCATTTTTTATCCCCTCCCATCATGCAATGCATAATTTCCATAGCACATCAGCCAATACCAATTAAGAAACACTCAAATCACAATAAAATTGCAAAAAATTCCATTAATTCCATGCATAAATTGAGCAAAAAATAGCCAAGCAGCAACTACAGAGATACATATGGAAGCCCAATGCATTTGCAATAAAACTGGTCATACAACAATAAAAGATTGATCTGTACGGGCAATAATGGGAGAAAAAGGAGAACTAATCAAGATAAAAAGGAAGGACCATACAAGTAACGAGTAAGGGGGAAACGAAAAACTGCTGTTACGTATGCTAGGAAGGAAAAATAGCTTTCCATAGAGAGAAATGAAGATCCTTCTCCATAGATCGTTAGAGAGGTACAAAACAAGAGAAATCTAGTTAGAAGATTATAGGATGCCAGTAATGCAATGGTTTTGACACTCATAACTATCAGAAAGGCCAAATACTGATTTGCCCATCTAGGGAGAGAGAATATTACATAGTTGAATAAATGGTACTATCTACTATAGAAGAAAACAATAAACATAGCAACCTCCCTACCGCTTCAATATTTGAGGAAGACCAATTACAATTCTCCTATAAATAAACTAAGTTTGTGATTAAACTTTTGTATCTAAAAACCAAAAACAAAGCGTCAGTTTTAGGCAGGCATCTAACAAATAACTAAGTTGAAGAGAGAGAAGCATAATTTAGGATGGCTTTTACTTGGAAGTAAGAGCGGGAAAGAGAGATTAGATTAATTCCATGAATGAATATGGGACATCATTTCATCATCTCACTACTAAAAACACGCATACTAACCGAAACCTCTATATGTCTCCATGCACATTATTTAAATATAGTTGGAAACCCACAACTATCTGATCTTGATTGAAAACTAGTAGTAAATCAATAACAATGTCATAGACTGGAGTCACTCCCAACTATCCAATCAAGATTGGATGATTGAGAATGAACCAAGAACAATGTCATAGGCTAGTGCCAACTGTACTTGTCAGGCCATAATAATGCGTGACATTATTGTCTACTCACTCGCAGCCATCCAATCAAGATTAGATGACTAGATACCTCCAGACATAATAAATTATATGTGTGCAAAGACACATGGAAAAGTCACCCCATAAATAAACCCCTGCATTAATCTTAGTTAGTTGCAATATCAAGCTTCTCTTTCCACTTGTTACATTTAACAACAAGATCAAGTGTGTGGAGCCAAGTAAAGCAGCCTCGACTTTCTCATCGCCTAAAGGGTGAACTTTTTATGTGTCTCCACAAACATATAATTTATGTATCTGAAAAAATCTAGCTATCTGATCTTGATTGGACAGCTGAGAGTAAGCCAACAATAACATCACACATTATTATAACTCGACACATACAATAGGTACTAACCTATGACATTATTCGTGGTTCAGCCTCAACCATGTAATCTTGATCAAACAACTGAGAGAGGCACCGGTTTGTGGCATTGACCTTAGCCTACTGCTAGTTAGATCACGATCAAAACGTTGTGAATTTCCAAATACATATAAATTATGTGTGTAGGGATATAAAAGTTTTATTTGGTAAATGCCCTTTGGTACCGAGATGATGAAATGGTGGCCCAATTTCATAATCATATAATTAATCTACTCTCTCTCTCTCTCTCACTCTCTCTCATAACTTGATTACTAAAATTTCCTCCAAATATCATCCCTCTTAACCTATGTTTCACTCTCTTGATTATTTTCTAGATGGTTCACTTTCTCTATTTGTTCTCTTTCTTGTTTTTTTTCTTTTTTTTCAGAATCCATCTATTTGATCTCTTAATTTACATGATATATCCCCCCATTCTATCTCACTTTGACTCTCTCTCGAAGCTTTTTGATGATTTGACTCCCCTTTTTTCAGAGGGTTAGACATGATTCTGTCCCGTGCACTGCCTCTCTCTGTCCTGGCATTAAAAGATTAGATAATTTGATTCTCCTTAAAAATTCTCTTTATACATATATATGTACATATAGAGGTATAAAGAGAACCCCCCATTCTATCTCACTTTGACTCTCTCTCGAAGCTTTTAGATGATTTGACTCCCTTTTTCCAGAGGGTTAGACATGATTCTGTCCCGTGCACTGCCCCTCTCTGTCCTTGCATTAAAAGATTAGATAATTTGATTCTCCTTAAAAGCTAAGTAGGATTCTCTTTATACATATAGAGGTATAAAGAGAAACCCTCCAAGTGTTCAATCTAGAGCCCAAGGGAGAGAGAGAGAGAGAGAGAGAGAGAGAGAGAGAGAGAGAGTTAGTTAGTAGACGTAGTACGTAGTAGTTACGTTAAGTTAAGTAAGTTAAGTAAGTTAGTTTAGGTAGT